AGCGCCCAACTTCGGTCATGTCATGATCTCATGGTTTGTCGGTTTGAGCCCCACGTCAGGCTCTGTGCTGACAGCCTGGAGCCTGCTTCAGATTCTGTGTCTCCTCTCTTTGCCCCTCCCCAACTCACTCTCTCTCTCTCTCTGTCTCTCTCTGTCTCTCTCTGTCTCTCTTTCAAATAAACATAAAAAAAAAAAAAAGTCTCCCAAAGCAACTTTTTTTCTTTGTTCCTTTTATTTCACTACTAAAAACTCTTTTGAAAAAATGTTTATTTATTTTTGAAAGAGAGAAAGCATGAGTGGGGAGGGGCAGAAAGAGGAGGACAGAGGATCCGAAGCCAGCTCTGTGCTGACAGCAGAGAGCACCATTCAGGTCTTGAACTCAAACACTGAGATCATGACCTGTGCCAAAGTCAGATGCTGAACTGGCTGAGCCACCCAGGTGCTCCTAAAAAAAAAACCTTTGTCATAGATTCTTTAGAGTCCTTATGGTCATTAGTTAATTCATAAACACTGAAAGAGTGTTCAATCTCTCACAGTATGTCCTTTTCAAAACCTGTGGATGCATTTGCATTATAAAAGCCATAGCCAAGTCACAAATTGCTCTCAGGTTTAGAAAAATTGGAAAAAAATATCTATTAGTTGCATTATGCTTATCACAACAAAGTCTCTTCTCTATTCTTCCACTTTCTTTTCTATTAAAATCCGCAGAAATAAGAGCAAATAACCTATTATCTGAAAGCAAACATTCTTATGTATAAATCTATTATATCTTAAATAATTAAGGGGCACCTGGGTGGCTCAGTCGGTTAAGCGTCCGACTTCAGCTCAGGTCACGATCTCGCGGTCCGTGAGTTCGAGCCCCACGTTGGGCTCTGGGCTGATGGCTCAGAGCCTGGAGCCTGCCTCTGATTCTGTGTCTCCCTCTCTCTCTGCCCCTCCCCCGTTCATGCTCTGTCTCTCTCTGTCTCAAAAATAAATAAAACGTTAAAAAAAATTAAAAAAAAAGAAAGAAATATTTAAAAAAATAATTAAAAATAGTAGGGTTACATGTGTCAGTTTAGAGAATTATAAAATTGTCAAGTGGCTTTTCCTTAAATTTCTGCTATAGACATGTGTATAACAATATTCTCTTCTGCTTAGCACTAAATTACTATACAATCAAAAATGATCTCTAAATTGCTGGGCTTTTATGTTTTATATAAGATGAAATCATAAGAATTACAAAATATATCCTTTAAGTTAGAATTTATAGATCTTTAACTTATATCCTTATGTAAAAAGTGGAAGAAATTAATAAAAATGGACAAATAATGTCAGCACCATAATCTATAGGGAAGCTAAAGAATACATGGGCCCTGCTTTCAATGATCTTACAATCTTAGACTACAAAAAAAGATAATTTACTAAATTTTAGAATAAAAAACATTTTATCAGTTTTAACATGTTTTATTAGATGCAACACATAAGAATATTTTGATGTTGCAAAATAAATTGGTTTAAGAACTTCTACCATAGAGGATGGTTTCCATGATGGATTAATTAATCATCTAGATTAAGCAAGGAAACAGAATTTTTGTTCTTGCTGTTGTTGTTGTTGCTCTCAGGGGATGGTCCATGTGGAGATCTATTTATTTATTTATTTATTAATTTATTTATTATTTACTTTTTAAAATTATTTATTTATTTTTTAATTTATATCCAAGTTAGTTGGCATGTAGTGCTATAATGATTCTAGGAGTCGATTCCAGTGTTTCATCCTGTAAGTATAACACCCAGTCTTCATCCCAACGAGTGTCCTCCCTAATGCCCTTTACCCTTTTAGCCCATCCCCCACCCACAACCCCTCCAGCAACCCTCAGTTTTCTGTATTTAAGAGTCTCTTATGTTTTGCTCCCCTCTCTGTTTTTATATTATTTTTACTTCCCTTCCCTTATGTTCATCTGTTTTGTATCTTAAATTCCTCCTATGAGTGAAGTCATATGATATTCGTCTAAGAAAGAGAATTTATGAAAAGATCATAGATGGGGCTAGTTTAGGGACTTGGTTCAAAGGCTCAATTGATGTCAGAAGGGTCTAACTGAGTATACTTTGCTTTCTCTGGGTTGGTTTCATTTCAGGCTTTTCATGGTGGTCTCTGGCATCTTTAGTCATGTCAGCACAACACCAAATCCAAGTTAGTCTCCATCCCAGATTTAGGGAATTGCAGACCAGCTCCTGCCCACCCACCCCACCAGCTCTGCAGGAAGCCACAGAGTGACCTATCAGGAAAGGGGGGAAGGCCAGGCTTTGAGTCCTGTCTGGGATGCTGGTCAGGCTATGTGCATTGTTAAATCCATAACTTTTATTGTTTAGACATAATGGCATATCAGCCTCCCTTTGAGTTCTTACTCTGAGTCCTTCAAATGTTAGGGGCAGGCCAGGTATAGGCAATGTTAGAAATTTTGTTCTTCAACCTGAGAGCAGGAGGAAGTCATTTGAAGGAATTTAGGCAGGAAAGGAACAAGATAGGATTTAGATTTTTTAAAATGGCATTGCCGTGCTATAAGCAGCATAGAATCAACTGCACATATTTAATGTATACACCTGATCCATTTGACATGCCAATGAAATCACAATTAAAAAAAAAACAAAGAAAATGAAAAAAACCTACAAATGACTTTTACTTGGAATATACAGGACTCTACAATTCAGTAACTACAAGACAAACAACCCAATTAAAAATGGGACAAAAGACCCCCCAAAACCAAGAGCACACTGTACACACTATGGGTTACCGATTTGAAAATAAATTACATTAAAAAAAATAATAAAATGATTAAGAAAAAAAAAGGGACAAAAGATTTGAACAGTCACTGCACAAAAGAAGATATAGAAATAGCAGAGAAGCGCAGGAAAAGGGTCTCAACATCATTTGTCACTAGGAAGATGCAGATTTATATTTTAAAATGTCACTCAGGCTCCAGTAGGGAAAGAACTGGAGATCAGGTTGGCAAGAAGAACAGTTAAGAGGTTGTTGCTATAGGACTAGTAAAAGACAGCAGCTACTTGAATTAAGATGGTAGTTGTAGAGACAGGGAGTGGATGACAATTGGACAAATATTCAGGGAGCAAAATAGATAGGCCTTGACACTGGTTTTGATTTCAGAGAATCAAGTGTTAGAAATGATTCCAGATTTTCTGGTTTGTGCAGTAGGGTGGCCAGTGGTGCCATTCACAAACGTGGTGAAAACTGGAGAAAGACCAGGTATGGGTAAAGATTAAATATATGTTAAATGAGCACTTTTGAGGTATTTCTGAGACCTCAAAGTAGACTCTGGGAGCTGGCAGTGGAGCAAAATGTGTCCTAAGCCTTGTCTCTTGTGTTTGGTGTGGGCAGAAGCTCAGTGGCAGTGGGCTGAGGTGTTTTTTTTTTGTTTTTGTTTTTTTTTTTTTTAATTTTTTTTTTCAATGTTTATTTTTGGGACAGAGAGAGACAGAGCATGAACGGGGGAGGGGCAGAGAGAGAGGGAGACACAGAATCAGAAACAGGCTCCAGGCTCCGAGCCATCAGCCCAGAGCCTGACGCGGGGCTCAAACTCACGGACCGCGAGATCGTGACCTGGCTGAAGTCGGAGGCTTAACCGACTGCGCCACCCAGGCGCCCCTGGGCTGAGGTTTAAATGCAGGGAGAAAGAGAAGAGCAGGGATTGCTAAATCAGATTCCCCTGTTCCGTCCCCATGAAAGGGAGGGAGACTGTCATAGGTGGTCTACACTAAGGAAAGCAGGAAGAACTTCTGGAGGAAGGGGAGTTTCGGAGACCTTCTTTAAATACTCAGAACTCTTGGGGCGCCTGGGTGGCACAGTCGGTTAAGCGTCCGACTTCAGCCAGGTCACGATCTCACGGTCCGTGAGTTCGAGCCCCGCGTCGGGCTCTGGGCTGATGGCTCAGAGCCTGGAGCCTGTTTCCGATTCTGTGTCTCCCTCTCTCTCTGCCCCTCCCCCGTTCATGCTCTGTCTCTCTCTGTCCCAAAAATAAATAAACGTTGAAAAAAAAATTAAAAAATAAATAAATAAATACTCAGAACTCTTGAGGTATTTTGCTATTTGGGGGGTACCCTGAATTGGAACAAGTAAGCTAAAGATCGTCTGATTTCTATGGTTCCTCCAATTCCTATCCTACTCCCATTGCTGATCCGCAATTTATACACAGATTGTATAGTGGATGTGGCCTCAGGAAATCAAAAGGTCCTACAGTGCGGGTCATTCCAAATCTTACTAAATGACCTTATGTTCCGTTTTTCCTCATGGGTTCTATAATCTGTTGAAGAAGGGGGAAAAGAGCATTCTTTTCTTTATTTTTATACCTCATTAGTGAATCCTAACCATACTCTGCCTTAGACCCCTTTTCCATCTCAGTCTGGTTCTCAGATTCTTAGAAAGGACAATGGATCTTTAAATTAACTCAGTTTGTGCTGGGAAGAGGCCAAAATTAGTTAGTGTCCCATTGATACTCAGTTGGAGTAGCCTTCAAGTTGTACAATCTAGGGAAGGCATTCACACCTCCTCCTCCTCTTCTTTTCCTAGTTTGGAACATTCTGGCTTGTGTTTTGCTCTCCCTGTAAATATGAGAGAAAATAAAAGACACTATTCAGCCTCCTTTGTCTGAAAAGTCTGGCAGTTCAGTGGTTTTCTTTAAAGGGGGCCCTCATTTGTAACCAGCTTTGCCATTAACGGAAATCAATCTGAATGTCCTATTGTGCATCTTTTTTCTTTCCTCACAGTCTGAACTTGTCTTTGCCAAGTTTTCGAGCTGAACTTGAAAGACCCTCTCTCATTTTCCCCGTTCGCTGCCTCCAGCCCCATTGACTCCTAGCACAGCTTTCTCAGGGAGAAGGGCTGCAGAGTGTGGATAAGGAGGAACGCGACCTACTCCGCTAACCCAGTGGCCTGAGCCAATCACAAAGAGGATTGGAACCTCATTTGAGCCCCCCTTCCCACCCCCTTCCCCTGGCAACAGCCTCCAGTAAAGGGGGACAGTGGAAGGGTGTGTTTGCAATTCAAATCCTTGGCTTTCTGCCTGCATCTTTTCCAAATAAGAAGGCAGGAGCTGCTGTGAGGTGCAAAGGGGTCTTCAGAACTGCAGTGGCAATAAGATCCAGAGATCCTCCCTCCTGTCTCTTTTATCTGTCTTCAAAGCAAAAGGAAAGGGCAAGGATGGTGGAGGCTTTCTGTGCTACCTGGAAGCTGACGGACAGCCAGAACTTTGATGAATACATGAAGGCGCTAGGTAGGTAAAAATAAGATGTGCTGTTCTCTTCTTAACCTGAAGCTTCAGTAGTGCCAATTCCTTTTTTTCTCCTATTAGATTGCCAAGCGACAAAGAAAGATCATGTTGTCATAACTGAATCCTAGGCTATGCATTTCCCACTGAAGGGATTTTTAATGTGGCGTTTGCCTGCTTTCTTGCCCAGGGCTAAATAACAGTGCATTTGGTAGTCTGGGGGAGGATGTGAAGCTTCTGTGCCTTTTTGTTTTCAGCATCCACTTATCATTTGTGCATCCAATTAAGCATCCGCGTATTATAGCTCATCAGTAGTCATACTGCATAATTAACGGACTAAACGTGTCCTGATGAAACTTACACTCGAGGGCCTGGATTCCAGGATAGGAAAGCAGATTCCTGCTATGTGAGTTATTTTGGAAGTCGCTGCTAACTGCATTGCTTTTTTAGGTGTGGGCTTTGCCACTAGGCAGGTGGGAAATGTGACTAAACCAACAGTGATCGTCAGTCAGGAGGGGGACAAAGTGGTCATCAGGACACAAAGCACATTCAAAAACACAGAGATTAGTTTCCATCTGGGAGAAGAGTTTGATGAAACCACTGCAGATGACAGAAACTGTAAGGTAAGGACCGCTCCTTCTCTGGGGTGGGGATGGGGAGGAGGGAATAAAAAGAGATCCCTGATGTTTCTCGTGTCTAGATGATGGGAGTAGAGAAAGTTCTCAGTATTTCAGTTCAGAGAGGACACCACCAGGATTAATTTTGCATTCTAGTGCACATATGTGGGTACTGGCTATAGCTCAAATCTCAAATCTATCTGTCTCTTACTCTACATTTTTCTTTTCATATTTGTATTTCAGAAAGTAAGAGTGTTCATTTAAAATAAAGATTGTATTTTGTTTAATGTCGCTGATTGCCTCAGATTAACGAAACTGTTTGCCTCATCTGAAGGCTTTGTTTACAAGAGTAGAGTGACTAGTCTGAGAGTACTTGTTCAGGATTTTTATTTCTAACATATGAAATTTTTGCATCTAGATGTACACACTTCAATGAAATTATGAATTATTAGTTTACTATCATAATGACTCTAGAAGCCACAGAGGATATGGTACTAATATGATAATTAGTTGATCACCATTCATTCAATTCTATAATTCCTTCAAAAACCACTTCACTTGACTTTCATCTCAGAAATTTAATCTGTACCTTTTGCTATGTTCTGCATTTTGTTGTTGGTCTCAGTCTGTTGTTAGCCTGGATGGAGACAAACTTGTTCATGTACAGAAATGGGATGGCAAAGAAACAAATTTCGTAAGAGAAATTAAGGATGGCAAAATGGTTATGGTAAGTAAAGGCAGTTCTCCCTTTGTTTCTTCTTGCTTTTCACTCCTCTCCTAGTTCCCATCCCCTTCTCTCTCTCCCACTCTTCTTTAATAACAGTAAGTCTCCAGCAAGCTTCTTTGATCATGTGTAAAACAGAAGACATAAAATTGTCCTGGTGAATTGTATCATCAGCTCTGCTTCTTTAATTATAGAAAAAAAAGAAAAATTCTATGCAAGCGTGGTTTTCAGAAGTTTCCATCGATTTAGCTAAAACTGTCAAAGAAAGAATTTGTGTAGTATTACTGTGAATGTCTAAATCTCAAATGAAATCTAAATATAAAAATATTCATGAAAACATATGAATAAGACTGATAAATTACTATGAGTATCAAGTTGACTGAATATCCAAAAAATTACTTTACAGCTACTGTAATAAATAAGAGATCTTGACACTTTTTATATTTTAGTTTATGCAGGTTCCATAAGCTCAGTGCAGATAATTTAGAATATAACAGAAAAGTGTAGTTCCTCCTTAGAGGGAACCATTTTGATGTTACTTCCTTCTAGTCTTTCTTTTGATGCATCGTGCCTTGTAAATATTTCCATTCAATACCAGTAGTCATGTAAAAACTATAAAAATATAAAATTAAAAAAAAATCTCTAATGATGTAGTAGCATCATAAACTGGGGAAAATGTTATGCATTAATCTAACATTCTAGACACATTTTTGTGAACTGAGTAATGGTATTTTGATGACATTGAAATAGTCAATATATCATTTTGGGGTTTTTTGAGAGTGGGTGGGTATGGCTTTACCTATTCCTTCTAAGATAATAGGAGAAAGGGCTTTTTGTTTTTGTGATTTAAGGAAATTGACTGCTGTTTTTTCTCTTCCCTTTAACTGTTGCAATCAGGGCTGTTCTAGATTGAGACACAGGGCTTACATTATTCATACTTCTTTCCATGGGATGGGAAGAGAGGGGCAGTGTTCCTCTTATGGTAATGAATATTTGCCCACATATTTCTGCAGTGATCATCAAAAGAAAGGATTTGTTTATAAAAGATTCAGTCCGAGCTTCTCCTTTATGCTTTTATCTCCATTTCCCACCCCCCCACCCCGAAGACAGAAAAGTGGATAGCTTATAACTGACTGATCAGGCAAGACTGAGTTCAAAAAAAGGAGATTAAAGCTATGAATGACAAGGGCATACTATGCTCTTGAAAATCATGTCAATCCATGTAAATAACAAACCCTAAAAAAACTCCTAGATTTTGTAAAGAGATTTTATAGAAATTCTTTCAGTCCAATTTGACGTAAGAGTCCATGTTCCATGTTACACCCACCCAGGCACGTAGGTTCACATCAGCTGAAATATGACAACCAAAGCATTGAGAACATTTGTACATTTACTTTTCCTGATGACTTTGACACAAGTCATTCCAAATACCATTTCCCCAAATGACTTGGATTTTCTAAAAATTCTTCACAATTTATGTGATGAAAACCTATTATAAATTCCATTCACTTTCAAAGCAGAGAGGTAATTTGATTACCCTGATAATTTAAGGGAAAAGGAATTCTTTTGACCTGAATCTACTTAGTTAATGTCAGTTTTTTTGCTTCATTTTCCTTTTAGAGACATAAACTATATATGCATGTTATTATTCACTCAGTAAATAAAGTTTCTTTTCTTTTTATTTTAAGAACGGAAGAGCTTATGCAGCATTTAATGTTTGTCAATGACATTATTCGTTTGCATAATATGTAAATTATATATGATCATCTTTAGAAAGTTCAGCTACTGATATTCTTGTATAAAAAGACTTGATTCTTTTTGCATCTTTCAGACTCTCACTTTTGGTGATGTGGTTGCTGTTCGCCACTATGAGAAGGCATAGAAAGGTTCCTGATCTGGGGTTCGAAAAGCTCTACAATTTTTCTATTTACTCAAGTCTCAGTGTTATGGGACTGATCACGAATTAAAAGGTTATCTTTGTTGTGGAGGTGGAAAATGGTGCTTTAAAAACTTGTTTTAAAACTTTTTACTGCAAATAGCCCAATTTTGATCTGCAGATTTATCATGTTTTATAATTCACATTAAGATGTTAAGTCACATTTTTAAAATAAAGAAGTAAATGCATTTTATAATTTCCATTGAAAAGTAAATCAGATTCAAATAAATATTGTATACCCATGAGAAATTTTGTTGTTGTTTTTAATGTCACTAATCTGGTGGTTTTAATATTAGATATTAGATATTAAATATTTAATATTAGATATTAATCTGATTAATATCACTAATCAGGAGGTTTTAGACAAAATAGCCTTTCTTACTGTATAAAATAAAGCTGGAAAAGTGCTAACTTTTTAAAAATATTACTAACAAAGTGCTAACTTTGTTTAAAATATTAATTAAAAAGAAATCAGCAGAAGCCTGGGGAAAAGTGGAAATGCCACAGTTTTGGTTGAGACTTCCATAGAGAACTTGTGGCAATCAGAAACAGGCAGGCTGATGAAGCAAAATGATATACACAAAAATATCTTATTAAAAAATAGTCAAAATATCACACAATCAAAATGTCATATATTCAAGTTTCTTATTGAAAAGTAAACAGGAAAATAAAATGAATTTTACCCTGGATTATAAAGGTGTGTTTCCAGACAAACACTTTGAGCTGAACTAAGTCAACAAAAGTGCTAAAATGGAGTGCATAGAATGTGCGTTAAGGCTTCCAAATTCCCTTTAAAAAAATTTTTGTTTTTAGTAGAGAAAACTAACTTTATTTTTCTAACTTGTTTTATTTTTTACTTTTTAAAATTTGCATCCAAATTAGTTAGCATATAGGGCAACAATGATTTCAGGAGTAGACTCCTTAGTGCCCCTTACCCATTTAGCCCATCTCCCCTCCCACAACCCCCCCAGCAACCCTCAGTTTGTTCTCTATATTTATGAGTTTCTTCTGTTTTGTCTCTCTCCCTGTTTTCATATTATTTTTGTTTCCCTTCCCTTATGTTCATCTGTTTTATCTGTTAAAGTCCTCATATGAGTGAAGTCATATAATTTTTGTCTTTCTCTGACTAATTTCACTTAGCATAATACCCTCCAGTTCCATCCACATAGTTGTAAATGGCAAGATTTCATTCTTTTTGACTGCCGAGTAATACTCCATTGTATATACATACCACACCTTCTTTATCCACTCATCCATCGGTGGACATTTGGGCTCTTTCCATACTTTGGCTATTGTTGATAGTGCTGCTATAAACGTGAGTGTGCATGTATCTCTTCGAAACAGCACACCTGTATCCCTTGGATAAATGCCTAGTAGTGCAATTGCTGGGTTGTAGGGTAGTTCCATTTTTAGTTTTTGGAGGAACCTCCATACTTTGCTTCCAGAGTGGCTGCAACAGCTTGCATTCCCACCAACGATGCAAAACAGATCCTCTTTCTCTGTATCCTTGCCAACATCTGTTGTTGCCTGAGTTGTTACTGTTAGCCATTCTGACAGGTGTAAGGTGGTATCTCATTGTGGTTTTGATTTGTATTTCCCTGATGATGAGTGATGTTGAGCATTTTATCATCATCAGTTGGCCATCTGGATGCTAATTTTTGTTTTAATATTTATTTATTTTTGAGACAGAGAGAGAGAGAGAGACAGAGTGTGAATGGGAAGGGGCAGGGAGAGAGGGAGACAGAATCCGAAGCAGGATCCAGGCTCTAAATCAGCACAGAGTCCTACGTGGGGCCTGTGGGGCTCAAACTCACAAGCTGTGAGATCATGTCCTGAGCCAAAGTCAGCTGCCCAACTGACTGAGCCACCCAGGTGCCCCCGAATTCCCTTTTTTGGGTGTGTGTGTGTGTGTGTGTGTGTGTGTGTGTGTGCTGCAGTTGTTGAAACTGAGTTACCCAAGGGAAAGTAAATACCTATTTGTAACTGGCTAGGGTTTGCCTTTGTAAGTAGAAACAAACAAATGTTATTTTATATTTCATCATTTATTAAATGCATTTTATCCATTTTCCCAAACCAACAATGTGAAGCAGGGAAGGCAGATACTGTTATTTTTACTTTACTGATGAGGAAATTGAATATCAGATTTACTGTCCATGTAAGTGAATATTTACCTGTCTCATGATTAGTGAATAATACTGAGAACTGCAAACCTTGTGATTTTCCCTTTCATTTATTGTCAAAAAAGCACAAGATTTTAGTTTCCCTGATCACTACTTAGGAAATCGTTCCTCTGTTAGCCTCTGCGAGGCAAATAGGGTAAATATCTTCTCAGGAAAAAATAGGTAGTATTCATTTTTTTAACGTTTATTTATTTTTGAGACAGAGAGAGACAGAGCATGAACGGGGGAGGTTCAGAGAGAGAGGGAGACACAGAATCCGAAACAGGCTCCAGGCTCCGAGCTGTCAGCACCGAGCCTGACACAGGGCTCGAATCCACAGACCTCGAGATCATGACCCGAGCTGAAGTCGGACGCTTAACCACTGAGCTGCCCAGGCGCCCTGGTAGTATTCATTTTTAATCAACCAGGTGATTTCAGTTAATTTCTATAATTCAAGGCCCAATTAACTTACAGATATAAGCATGAGGGAACTTACTTTAACTTACAAAATGCACCATAATGAAACTATTATCTGACTATTGGATTTAGGATTACTTTATTACTATAATGAAGAGTAGAGGAAACTACAGTGCAGCTACAGGATTTAACATTTGAATACAATTAGTACTGAATGCCAGGATAAGGTTGGCTGAGATGACCATTCCTAAAACTAGACAGTCTACCTTTGTCTTTAAAAGCATGAAACAGAACACTGAGAGTGTTTGCTCCCAATTGTTCAGGCAGACTTCATCTTTGCTTCTGTTGGAAGAATGCTTTCTCTTGATGATTCCAGCCTCTGCTCCAGTAGAAGCAAGGGTTCTGGCCCCTCTGCTCTTAAGAATACAAGGCCATGGATGGGGATTCAGCTTCAGTTGACTATTATTAGGCCAAATAACATCCTGCTGGCATTTATTTCCATAACAACTGCCCTCCAAGTGAAGAATGGGAAGGGTTTTGGGTGGCCTAAATGAGAAACAATTACAATTACAATGACAATCACAAAGATCAAAGGTTGCAGTGGTGTACCAAATATATTTTTCTGGGAAGATAATTAACAAATATTTTTTGCTTCCTAAATCTTTACAAGGTAGTTGCAAATCATTTTTCTTCGAGCAGTATTCTAGGTCATATACTGACCTACCAATAGTACTAACTTTTCTGGTTTGTCCTTTTTGTTTTTGTTTTTAACATAGTTAATAGAAAAGGGAAAGTTCCCAAGCCCAAAGGCAATTTGACCAACAGGCCCTGGAGAAATGTTTGTGAAATCCCAAGGTCTTAAAGTTGCAAACTTGACTAAAAGTGGTCTTGTGAAATCCACACTTGCACCCCTGATGATGAGTAAGGAGCAGTTTCCATCCTGTCATATGTGTTCTCTCACCCAGATACACACCCTCACAACAAATGACTCCTCCATCTGGACCATGAGGACCTATAAATTCATGTCCAAGGTTAAGATGAAAACCCAGAGATGTTGAGGCACTATAGTTTTGCACTAGAGAAAGGAGGTATAAAGGAAAACAAAGCAGAGGGAGTAGAAGGGAGAATGATGTTCCTATCCATTGTCTTTTAAGGAATTCAAGCATTTTTTAGGTTTCAAAAGGTGCTGGAGGTAGTTTATGCTTACTTACTGAAGGACTGTTTCACAATCAATTCACTTCCAGTAAAGCTTATTGGAAATTGGGGGAGAAGAGCTAAAATTGCTATTTTTACACTTAAAAAAATCATTTTCCTAGTCTTCAAAATGTTTGGGTTAGAAACACACAAGTTATTTTGTTGTCCTTAAAGTTATTCTCCCTCATCTGTCATTTTCCCCCCTGCCCATTTTCCTCCATACTTTTGAAGTTGTGGACTGAGAAATTCCAAACACCACTCTGTCCACCACTGGAAAACATTTTGGTTCTAGAAAGGCTTTTCAATTATCCTAAAACTGAGGCATGTACTCTGGCAGTACATGAAACAAAATGGAGGCACCTTGATTACTATTTCAAAGCCTCTTTCATGTGGCACTTTCCCATTAAATTACACAGGATACAATATAAGGTTTCCTCTGATGGGAAACAAATACATTTTATGACCTCTTTCATGAAGTTAGTCATCCTGCAGGATATTTTTTTTCTCCCAAGGAATTCCACATCTTTATCTTAAAGAGACCATAACCCTCATAAATGGTTAGAGAAGAAACACAGAACCTGAAACAATTTGGGGATCTTGGCCCCATTGTCAGACTAAGTATCTTTAAAAATTCTTTAGGAGAGTAAAAACAACTGGCTCTACTTATGCTTGTTATGTGTCTCTGGACTGCATAAATCACAGTTCTGAGACGTTCTAACTCAGGTGTAAACAAACAAACAAACCCCCTAAACAAACTAAAAACTAAGACCCTGTGTCTTTTTTAAAAATTTTTTTAAATGTTTTTTTTATTTTTGAGAGAGAGGGAGAGAGGGGCAGAGTGTGAGCAGGGGAGGGGCAGAGAGAGAGAGAGGGAGCCACAGAATCCACAACAGGCTCCAGGCTCTGAGCTGTCAGCACAGAGCCCTCTGCCAGTTCAAACCCACCAACCCTGAGATCATGACCTGAGTGGAAGTCAGACACTCAACCGACTGAGCCACCCAAAAGCCCCTAAAATCCTGTGTCTTTGAGCAGTGGTTCCCAAACATCACCATCACTTTAGCATCACCTGGAGGGCTATTAAAAACACAAATTACTGGACCATTTTTATGCTCCTTCCTGAGTTTTTGATATAATTGGTCTGGGATAGGACCTAAAAATTTTCATTTCTTACTAAAATTCCCAGGTAGTGCTGATGCTTCTAGTCCAGGGACCACCCTTTGAGATAGCTGTGCTATCCAAAACTTCTGCTGCCCTCCTCCAAATTCTCATACTTCAAGGTTCTCTGCATGTCTTCTGCAGCGGAGCCCCATCTGTTTAAGGCCAGGCAGCATTTAGGGAAGATGATCTGCTTGAAGTTTGCCCAAGCACATTCCTTCCCTGGCCAGTCATTGACGGAAGGCATAAGAGGGCAGATCATCGCTAGACAGTTGCTGAAGGTCAAACGAACTGACCTTTTGCGGAATCTACCCTCGC